TTGCATCTCTAAATATTACATCTTTCATTTTTTTTTCTCTCTCTCTTTTTTACTTGTATTGAAGAAATCTTCAAGTTCTAATTTTATTGCTTTAGCTTTTATTAAAATTATTTTTTTAATATATAGTTTAAAACAATGTTAGTATAAATTAAATATTTGTTATTTCATCAAAACTAACGTATATTTTCTAACAGCACTGAATTAAACCTCTATCATAGAACTAACCATCCCTCTACTAAATTACATTGATATTAACGTAAAACATTTACATATATCTAATTAAAATTATTTTTTAAAATTTAAAATACTCACTTAACTGAAAAGATATTTGTCTTTTTAAAGAATAAATTCAGAGATAGATGTGTGAGTATTGATGAAAAAGACGGATGTCAATATAATATCTTGACTAAATTGTTCGAGCTACCTCTAGAAATGTTTTGTTATTTCTCCATGACTTATCAAACTTTATAGAAATGAATGGATAAGTGTTGGATGAAATTGTTTTTTTTAAAATAATATTACTTTTCTACACACAAAAAAATAAATAAATAAATAAACACACCAAAGATTTGACATTCTTTATTAAGTATAGTAATCAAACTTCACGAGCAAAGTCGTCTACAAGCATAGTAATCAAACAAACAAATACTATTTAAACAATGACTTCACAAACTCAGTTTTTCTGAACTCAGTTGACCGCTTAATAAGTGAAGAAATATTGTAAGAAAACCAAACAGAATTGATCATATGAATTAAATAAATTACCAAAACGGAAATATTGATCATACTGCTGACATGAAAACTGATGAGAAAAGTCACCATGTATTGTGTATACATATATAGGTATATATGTATATATATCTCTCTCTCTCTCTCGAAGCATCAATACAGCTTGAACGTAAGACCTGAGCCACCCAAGTTTTCGTCCATCACCTGAGACAGCTTCTTCACCATGGAAGGAGAAAAATAATTCCTCCAGTCACCCACTTCTGCTTTTCTAAACAGGTGTTTGTTCTCAAAATTCTTGATTGATTTCCCAGATTTATTCACCTCCAACCTTTTCAGGTTCTCAAAGCTACACAGCTTTACAATCTCTTCCACCACACCTTCTTCTTCCTCTTCCATGGTAAAAGGAAATCCCAAGAACGAAGCCAGCTTCTTCAACTGACACACCATGTTTTCTTTCATATCCTCGTACTTCAAGAACAACACCTTATCAGGTCTCTCCCGGCTTTCCTTCCAGTAACCCAGCATATGTTCCCAGAAAGGCCCGAACCCAACAACTCCTTTGCAGTACATTTCAAAGGCTTCCTCTAGCTCCAGCGGAGCAACACACTGCGGCTTTATCTTGTTCGTGTAATGCCATGAAGAGATAAACGTGTCGAAAGGGTTTCGGCAAAGATAAACTATTCGAGTTCCGCCATTGATGTTCACAGAAGGAAAGGGTATGTGGGTGGCGAAGAGTCTTGGGTGGGGAAGATTAGAGAGATCAGGAACTTGATTGTTGGCGTAGAGCTTGTATTCAAAGAAAGGAACAAGGTCATGAGGATTTGAATTGAACAGAGGATGATTAACAAAATTTTCAGAGAAGAGATTGGAGCGATTAATTATGGCAAAAGTCAAAGCTTTTAACCATGTAGTGCCTGATTTTGGAATGGTGGCTAGAATCAGATCACCCTCCACTGATTTGAAATGCTTCTGGTAAGACAAGATGGCCTGAATCTCTTTTGGCTGGCACCAGAAACCTTGAAGCTTGTAAAGATATGGAGTTCTCCATCCTTTCTCTTTAGTAAACTAGCCAACAATTCCTTACACTCACTGTTTATATCAATAACTTCTTCTCCTCCTCCTTTCTCATGATCATCATCTTTTTTAGATGATCTTACCTTCCCATTAGACTGGTTCTTTGTTAAACCAGGGATTGCCGTGGGAATAAATCTGGTTGCACAGCTTTGCATTTTTCTTATCTCTTCCTCTTTTCTGCTTAAAGATATAATTTCTCAAGCTAGAAGATGATTGAAATTCTCGTGACCACTATGTCCTTATAAATACTATTTGCATGCAATAATGACTTCTGGGTAACACTTTATTTAATAATTTTTTTATTTTTAGAAAAAAAAAAGTGGAATATGGTGATCTGTGATCATTTTAATTTCTCACGTTTCTTTACCTCTACACATTTTTTATTTGCTTCCTTGTGGAAACTGCATGTGAAGTAGCAAGTCGGCTACTTATTGGGCCCTTCTTTAAACAACATATCTCTCAGGTATTTTACCTAAATAATCAATTTTATTTTTATAATTTTTTAAATAAAACATTAAAACTATATTTATAGAATCTCACCGCTTATATGTATGTATGTGTATATATATAGCGGCGAACAATAAATACAGGCTGGACCACCGGCTTACAGCCCCCAAAACTATACAAAACAACAACAATATGTACATCCCCCGCCACCCCGAAAGTGTAAAGCTCAAATCTGGCCCGCAACAGGTGAGCACAGACGAAACATAACAAGGCGTGACGCAGAGACGACGGCATACATTTGATAGTTACATTTGTTTCTTATTTATATATGTATATATAAAGAAATAATTACTTATAAACACATAAACTTTTCTCGTCATAATAATTACTCTTGGCTTACAACATTCAGATCCGTGAGTAAATTATGTTCTTCAATTTCTATAAATAAAATTAAGACTCTCTCTGTATCTATATATGTACAAAGTTTTTGATGATTGTAAATCTACTCTTAAGGATAAATAAAGTCGAGTAATTACATATTAATGTAAACAATCTATATAAATATCTGAGGTTTCCTTAAAAGAAAAAAAAAAAAAAAAAAAAAAAAAACCTAATTTTTTATCCTTTAACATGCATTCCACGTGAATTTTATATTGAAATATTATTAATTAATGCATTCACCTCTGCCACCTAATATAATTTGACCATTTTACACAAATAAGAAAAATATTTTTTTCCTTTTTCAATAAGTCTAAATAACAAAAAGTCCACGACCAGCTTTTAAATTAAAATCTTGAGAACGAAATTTTATGAAGTACCCCAAATATTCATTTTTTTTTCTTTTTTCAGAAATATTTTATGAATTTTTTTTATACTTTTTTAATTCAAAATGTAATTTTTCTAAAATTAATAAATGTTATGAGTATTTGTTTCCAGTCTTTTATTCTTATTAGATTTCACGTATAGAAGGATTAAAGGTTTTTCTTAAAGACTTCGTATGTATTGTTGATTATTTTGTGGTGAAAAGTGGTGTCTAAGCATTATTCTACATTATATTTTTGCTGATTTTTTTTTTTTGAAGGTGAATGTAAATATAGATTTCTGTATAGGGGCTTATTTGATGCATATGTTATGATTCGTAAAAATATTATTTTACATAAAAGTTTATATTATATTCAATAAAAATAATTATATAAAATATTATTACCTTAAAACCCAGAAAATTATTATTTAGTAAAAATACATTTCACATAAAATCTAAAATATCTCAGAATTACCAAGAGAATTTTATAAAATCCCAGAAAGCATGATTCTTGAACCTGATAAAATTTGAAATAAACTCATATTTTTGTTGCATGATAAAACCGTGGCTTTTTTAGAAATAATATTTGTTAGGTACGCAATTTCAGTCGTATGCTTATTGATATTTTGTTGTGAAACCGTTTAAAATACAATTTTACTTTCTTGGTGTCAATAATTTATTGGTGACCGCCCTCCTATATTTTTATTTAAGATTAAATTATTAATTTAAAATAAAATAGTTTAGTTTGAATAGAATTTCAGAAATTTACAGGAGCATTTGATAATTTAAAGTTTTAATTTTTTTTTTCTATAAAAGTATAATTTTTTTTTTTGGCATACTAAAATAGTCTTTCCAATCCATATATTTATGAAAATTATCTTTTTATATAACGGTCCGCAACATAAAAGAAAATGAATTATAAATTGAATGCGGAAACAAAATAATAAAATTAAGATTTACATTCTTTATACAATAATTGAGAATACCCAATAGAATTACAGAAATGGTCATTCTAAAAAAACAAATGAAAATCAAAAAATAAATAGAAAATAAATAACTGAGCATATTATTCGCAACCCTTTTATAGATCGAGATATAGA